ATGAAAAGGGCCCTAAAGATGAGAATCAGCACTGAGTCTCCCAATGACGACGAGAAGAGTGTCAACATTCATCACCAGGAGGATATGATACAGGGACCATATTAAATGCAGCCAAGCGCTTAGATCGTCCGGAAGATGTGACTGAAGTGCCAAACCCCGACAATATACAACCTCAATACAACATGGTGATCAGCGAACTAGACAGAGGTTCAGTACAGCAGGGGAAACAACTCTGTCATCTAACACTCGCATCTAAAGATATCATAGTAGTGCATCACGTGGGGTTTTCCGGTGCACGATTACCGAGACCGGTGACAGTGCAGTTTATAGGAGATAATTCATGGGCAATCATCTTCAGACAGGAATGAAAATTATCTGGATAATCATAAAGGATCTTTTACTTTACAGAAACAGAAACGTGGCTATGTTTATTTTAGGAAGGAAGACCGTGCAAAAGTTTATCAAGATGAACAAATGCACTGACCATGCGATTTCCATACACTTTGACAAATCTGTATTTTGTACCAACAGGAATACACTTATGGTTTGAGCTTAAATACACCATAGGGTCTTCCGTAGTATAACAGCCCATCTTCTAGGGCATATTTTACAGGAATTATTGCATCAAATCATCCAATGGCGTTCCAAACATATATGATATTTCAGTAAAAACTGAACTGGATTGGACGATTATTTCATCAAAAGGTTTACACGTTTGTATTAATAATAGGGCTGCACGGTATTACCGGTATAACGGTAAACCGCAATACGAAATTGTAACAATTGCGTATCGCGATACGTTTATGACGTACCGGTATACCGCCAAAGATTTATTTGTTCAATTTTAACCCATTCAACACCGCACATAAGACTTCCGCCCGTATACCCCTAAATTTTAATGGTGAGGAAAAGGATATATATGTATATTCAGGTAATATGGGTGGTGATGGGTGGGGATTGGGCGGAAGTCTTTCCAAATGGTGGAAATCATTAAAATTGAATAAACTAATGAATTTAATCAACAGTTTTCATAAAAGTTGTCAAACGTACATCTAGGTTACTATTTCCATCTTTTCGTGCGATCATGTTATGTAAGTCAAGTGACCGCTCGGCTTTCCTCACCTCGATCTTCATGCTCGGACACGATGTTTAATGAGAAATCATTTGCATAAACAATATTTGTCACAGGTCGCCACCTAGCACGATACGTCCAATAAGTTCCATAATTTACGTATATATGGCGATTTGTTGCTTAACATGTTCAGAATAGCATTATTCTACCAAAAGTTTTCGTTTATGAGGACGATATACATTGCTGTAATATGATTGGCTTGCGAGCATGATTTTTACCAATCACGAACCTTATAGCAGACTGTGGCGAAAAGCGTCATTAGAAACCAATCTTTATCCAATAAAATCGCTTCTTACAACTGCGAAAAATACTCCTGGCGAGGTTACTGTGATATTATTGATGATTAGAGCTTTGGAACAATATCTGCCATCCAATGAATCTTCTAGAGACCGCCTCCGTGGTGTAGTGATTAGAGCGTCCGCCCGAAAGGTCGCGGGTTCGATCCCCGACCGCGTCATACCAAAAGACGTTAAAATATGGTACTTGTTGGTCCCTGCCTGGCGCTCGGCATTAATGGGTACAACAAGGACTGGTCGGCTCGGAGTCAGTATAATGTGTCTGAGTGGGGTATTCATACTTCACTGTGGCATGGTATCTCAGTGGGCTAGCACTGTAAAACCAGCTTAAGTCTGGACTAGTACAAGCAGGCGCACATACACATACACACGCATGCACGTCGGCATATGAGCGAAATATTCTCAAGCACGACGTTAAACCCACTTTCACCTCACCTTACCTCCCCTCATGAATCTTCTAGAGTGTTGTTCATACGGAGCTTCGAAAACGGAGGCATTTCCCAATGTTGTGTCATGTTACCGCCGGGTGAAAAGACACGATTATGGGGACCATACATATTACTTAATCAATCTCCAACAATAAATTTCTGCTTACGTAAAAATGAAAATATAAAAGAAATAGGTAAGAGGATATTATGGCATCTTACAAGTGGATTAAAATAGCGGGAGTTTACGTGTCCTTCGTGGTTTATATGGACATTTTAAGTGTGTAAATTTGTAATACTATTAGAAATACTATTAGAAATAAATTTATTTAAGTTGAAGTTGTATTATTTGAATAATATTATAAACATACCTTTGGTATTTATCAACAGTTGAATTAGACCTAAATGGTGTATGACATAGCAATAATGTTTCACGAACTCATATTTTCCTTGATAAACGTAGGCTTCTATCTTACGGTTAGGTTAAGGTTATGTTTCTCATGTTTCATTTTCTTTCATTATTCTATCTAGTCTAAAGAAAGTGTACTTTACCGGATACAGAGTGACTTTTGCCCATCGTGAGTGTTTTGTTAAATCATTTCTTTATGTGAATGTGTACCAAACGTCATTCATGAAACAGATAATGTTAATAATACTTCATTAAAGACAAAGGTGCAAAAATCATCGTTTTGATTAGAATGTGCACTTCAAGATCATGTCACATGATTGTGACTTTAGTTAATTTTTTCTTGAGTAATACAAATGTGTACAGTAAATTCTATAACTCTTTCAATTATTTGAAATTCAACATCCTTTGCTGTTTAAAGAAGTTAAAGTATATAAATAGACTTTAGTAAGATATGAAATGAGAAATCATACATTTTCCTTTGGACAGCAGTTACAATTAAAAGAAAGACTTGTTGAAAGTGTTTTTCATAGTAAATCGTAGGGCTAGTAATTTTTGGAAAGGACTAGTGACATACAAAATCCACTAGTCCGGAGGGCAAGTTAAAATTTGAGTGAGTGTCGATCCCTGCTGTTTTAAAATAGAAATATAAACAGAAGAATGTTCTGGATTTTCCTTTTTTCACTTTAAAAGAACCTGTACAAAGCACAATGGTTACTCACATAAACTGTGATTCATTTTGAAGGTAAAAGAATATTGCCAAGTGGACAGATCTCAATAACTGTTCTTTCACAATATATTGCAATACGTATCGCAATACAGAAGAGTGTATCGCAATATATCGCAATACGAAATCTGGGGCAATTCACAGCCCTAATTAATAATCTAATATCGTTCAATTCCTTTCCACTAGTTTACCCACCTAATTAGGGGGAAAGGGAGACTACTGAGACTGCTTCGTGTGTTTCATATCGATTCGTCAAGAATCGCAGCGACTAAAACACTTTCCAGAAGGTTTTATGTCAAGAGGGATGACATATATGCTACAAAAGTCAATCCGTCCTTTATGTCGACCAATTCCAGCAGCTCCAGCTTTAACGTCCTCATTTCACTACTTTATGGGGATAAACATGTCCATCTTTCTTCAAGTATGTCTAATGGCTTCAAACGACTCTTTTTGTTGTTTCATGAAGGTTACTACAATCAAAGCCTCAATGACGCTTTCAACAGGTTTTACGGTAGACAGGTGGAGGACATTTGCACATTTAACGAAGATATATGTGGCTCCCCATCTTACGTATACAAAATGTTCCCGTGTAGTTTGTGATGAAGAATTGACTTGCCTTTACGTGTGTTTGTGATGAGTGCCACTTAAGAGGCAGGATATGTTCACTTTTCCTGATCAACACCGTCTAAAAGTATCATTGATTATATTAGTACTTGAAGCTGTTTGTTTATATTGTGCCATGAGTTCGTTACTCGATCTGTTCAGATTCAGATCAATCTCCTGTACATGTACATTTCAGTCACGTGGTTTATACGAGCTACGAACATTCCTATCGAGCCAATGGCAAGCATTCAGGTTTCACTGAGTGTGGTTTAACGCCGCTCTTAAAGGTGAGTATATTTAACTTACAGAAACCGTACTTAAATTATGCATTTAGATTTCGATTTCAAAATGTTTGACTTATTTCAATAATGATATTACAACCCAATTATTTCTCAAAGTGTCCACGCACATGCAAGTAGATGCACAGCGTCGAAGTGTCCTTCATATCATGCAGCTGGACTGGCAAGACGGCATGTAAAGGGGCATAACTCTGCCTGCACTGTAACACGTCCACATGGGACCTGACATTTGACATGTATTTTTGTGTTCTTATGCAGCTGATAGCTGAAAAGCAACCTGATGAATTACACTGCACATGAACAGTAAGTTCATTGTAAAATCAAAGAACATATATGATATCAAAGCATGTAAAAGTCATACGCAGGATGTCATCATCATATATAGTAGCGGAGGAAGGGTACAGCAACAGGAGAGGACGACCTCACCAACATAACCTTTACAGGAGGGGACGGCTTCACACTACATAACCTCTACAGGAAGGGACGGCTTCACATAACATAACCTCTACAGGAGGGGACGGCTTCACATAACATAACCTCTACAGGAGGGGACGGCTTCACACTACATAACCTCTACAGGAGGGGACGGCTTCACACTACATAACCTCTACAGGAGGAGACGGCTTCACACAACATAACCTTTACAGGAGGGGACGGCTTCACACAATATAACCTCTACAGGAGGGGACGGCCTGACACAAGATAACCCCTACAGGAGGGGACGGCTTCACACGACATAACCTCTACAGGAGGGGACGGCTTCACACAACATAACCTCTACAGGAGGGGACGGCTTCACACAACATAACCTCTACAGGAGGGGACGGCCTGACACAACATAACCTCTACAGGAGGGGACGGCTTCACACAACATAAATTCTACAGGAGGAGACGGCTTCACACAACATAACCTCTACAGGAGGGGACGGCTTCACACAACATAACCTCTACAGGAGGGGACGGCTTCACACAACATAACCTCTACAGGAGGGGACGGCTTCACACAACATAACCTCTACAGGAGGAGACGGCTTCACACAACATAACCTTTACAGGAGGGGACGGCTTCACACTACATAACCTCTACAGGAGGGGACGGCTTCACACAACATAACCTCTACAGGAGGGGACGGCCTGACACAACATAACCTCTACAGGAGGGGACGGCTTCACACAACATAACCTCTACAGGAGGAGACGGCTTCACACAACATAACCTCTACAGGAGGGGACGGCTTCACACAACATAACCTCTACAGGAGGGGACGGCTTCACACAACATAACCTCTACAGGAGGGGACGGCCTGACACAACATAACCTCTACAGGAGGGGACGGCTTCACACAACATAACCTCTACAGGAGGAGACGGCTTCACACAACATAACCTCTACAGGAGGGGACGGCTTCACACAACATAACCTCTACAGGGGAGGACGGCTTCACACAACATAACTTCCACGGTCGGGATGACTTCACACAACATACCTCCGCAGGAGGGGACGGCTTCACACAACATAACTGCCACGGGCTAGGGCGGTGTCACACAACACATTCTACAGGAGGACGGCTTCACACAACTTTTTTTGTTCATGAGGTCGAGGTCACAAAAGATATAGCCAGTCATATCTGACAACAATTTTCCTTCCTGCAATCAAAACCTCAACCCAGACTTAGGAGATAAGCCGCCTTCCGCAACTTCTGTTTCAATTCACCAATTTCCGTTGCAGCAGAGCAAGGAAAAGGATAAACATTGTGTTGACGACAACAGTAAGTGACTTCACAACGATTGCCATGTCTGTTCCTAACTTACAGTCTACCACTTCGGCAGCTACCTGATATCAACTTCAACGTTGTGTGGCGGTGGCGGTCAGTGTGTTCGAACCAGGAAGTAAATTGTCAGCCATACACGTCTAGCAGGGATACATACTCACACAGGGAGACCCCGGGCTTGCTGTACTCACACGGTAAGTGTCTTAATTCTTAATAACTCTTAATTCATGGATTCATTTCGTACAAAACGTTTGATGTGGCAGCATAGCCCTAATCTCAAGCTGTGACTAGTGATTCACCATGATCAGCATATCTAACTAGGTTATCATACACACTACTTACATGTATACACTATGAAATGCGCCATTACACGCTACATGAGTCAATATGTACACAACATGAACGGGTATTGCAATATGTCGGTCATGCTTAACTGTTAAATAAATGTGTAAGGTTGATTATGTCCATTTGTTATAAATGCATATCGAAAGAATTACAAGGAAATATTAAATACATTGACGACAATTCTTTATTCATGAAACGATACCCGGCACTTGTGTCAAGGACAGAAAGTAACCTCCATTTCATTGAAATACACGCGGTACTGACTATTTATATGGAGCATTGTTGTAATGTTTACGCCATACGTAACCTCTATACAAACATGAAGCCATACGTCAGACGAAGGTTATTTAAATAGCTAGCAGCATGAACACAATGAGAAATGCATACTACATAGAGGATATTATATGAGTGCCCATGTCATACTATGTTTACGACACGAGTGCCTAAATGTTGGTATTTCCCGAGCGAGAGCGAGGGACATACCGATATTTGGGCACGAGTGTCGTAAACATAGTATGAAATGAGCACGAATATAATATTCTGTTTATCACCGAAATCGTCAAATTGCGGAATATAAACCCAAATCTACTTTTAAACATAGGCTGGCTACCCGCCGTCACCGCATGTAGAACCTAATGTCACAGAAGAAACGTGACGGCATAGCCTTTTTCATGACGTCACGTCACCATGACAAAGTGATATTTTGCCCTAGGGCATCGTATGAAAAATATGAACCCCGATATGTTCGCCCTCGTAGGTAATAAATGTACTTATCACGACGTGAAAGAGTATTCAATCATATCGCGTGTGTCCCTTATCTATTGACATATGCATATAAAGGTAAACGGACTTCAGATAGTGATGTAATAAAGGGTAATATCAATCATTTCGGATTGATCGTGACTCGTTTACGTCGTACACGGATCCTGCAGATACTTCCGTCATATGAAACCGAAAAAACAGCTAGGTCATCTTCAATATCAGCAAATAGCAAATAAATGCAGACAGACAGTTATTAATAAAGAGGCGTCGCCCCATAATATAATCAGATGGCGATGTATTAAGTAAGAGTGCGCAGTTTGACTTTACTGCTCTACATCCTGGAGTTAATTGATTTTTGCACATGATATAAGTATAAGCCAACATTGTATATAACATCATCATTTTTGTTTTTGCAAAAGATTTACAACTGAGTAATAAGTTTATGGTTCTTTAGTGAACTTTGTTATGCATTTGGTTCCAAGGCATTACAGATACATAGCACATGATATTCATTTTCTCTATAATGCTGACCTCTGGCTTTACAAAAAAGGGCATTGTTCTTCGTTATATTCAATTCCATTATACCTGCCACATTCAAGGGCAATATTAAACTTACTACATCTAAACGTTGATAAAGGAACTCTTAAGTGCATAGGAATATCACGACACAAATATCTTTCAACATTTAACAAAGTATTAAACTCCTTATAAAATATTCATTCAGGAGATTCACTGATTGCGGAATACCAAGATTGTTTAATGTTATCTCCTAGCCTTAGTTTGAATAGATAAACAAAACGCTCCACATTTCCGCTTTGTTGGCTCAGCCAAGCATAACCAAATCCATTTTGAAACAGTGTGTGTTTAATTTTTGTTACCCAGGTATTATAGCCAAAGCTATAGACTATATATCTAATGATCTTAACATTAAATAACATTGATGTGAGAGTGTATTTTGTGGCATATGTATATGTCTACACCAGACTTTCATCACTCTTGACATGTATAGATGCTGCAATGGGAGTCCGCCACACTCGCCAAGAACCATACCATTTCGGTTGTATTACCCTTAAGTATTGTTTACAAAATTAAATTTGCACAGCCTCTGTTATTTTAGAATGAGATGTTCCCCAGATTTCCAAGCCATAACAAAGAATAGGCACAATCATTGAATCATAAATATTAAGTAAATCAATACAAGCTATGTTGCCAATGTTTCTCTGAAAACCGTTTAATAAAAAAGCTTTACAGGTCTGGGATGCAAGACATGCTTAAACTTTACTCCACACAAGCTAGGGTGTGAAGCTAATCTAAATACCGATGAAAAGGAAACAATTTCAACAGGGGGACCATTATAAATCCATTTCTCATAATGACAAAGAGGCCGCCCATTTCTAAAACAATAATCTTAGTGCACATAAATTTGGGAAAAATTGATTAATGAAAATTCCTTCACACACACACAGAGACAGACAGACACAGACATACATACACATACACACAAACACACACACACACACACACCAATTTTAGTTTCCTATAAAGATTATCAACAAATGTGAGAAATATCTGTGAGCTTAGAATACACCCCTGCCTTGTACCTACAAAATATTAAAACAAGATGAAAGGCCACGTTTGGTTCTGACACAGGCTGATAGATTGGAATACATTGATGCAATAATATTATAAAACTTGCCAGATACCCCAGCCCTACCTGAAGAGGATAAAAGAACATCATGTCTAAGTGTATCGAATCTCTTCGAAACATCTATGAAAAGGCAGTAGAATCTTCCCTTCTTTTCACAACAATACTTTTGAATAACAGCCTGAAGAACAATTATGTAATCTACAGTAGTTTAACCAGCCCTGAAACCTGCCGGGGCCTCATTTAATACGTTATTATCATCACACCAAATTTGCAACCTTTTGTTAAGAACAGAGGTAAGTGTCCTATATCGAGAATATTTATGAGAAATGTAAATAGTTTGATAATCTTATGTTGTGTTGCTTTGTGAAACTCTGTGGCAAGCCCATGTGGTCCAAGTGACTTGTTATTTGGCAAGTTTGAAAAGCTTGCTAATATTTCCTGTTCTGTTATAGGTCTGTTTAGTGTACATGAAGCGTCCATGTTGGAAGTACTGCAGTGGAAGGTGAAACTCATCTGTGATTTGGTTCGATAAACCCTGTGAAATACGTTTTCCAAAATAATTTGGGGTCCTTTCTTACCTATACTAATCTAGCTTTCTGTTTTTTCAAGATAGATCTTAAATGTCTGAACAGAGAGATGCCTGTATTATTGTCTCTATGTGACCTTAATGTTGTATATTTCTGTTGTTTGATGTTGTCCAGTTCATTGTCACACCAGGGTGGTTGGGTAATATTTCTTTGTTTCATAACCCCAGAGTACAGTCTCTTAGTGTGTTCTGCAGTTTGGTAGAACAGGTTTACTAGATAGTGTATAGCCCTGTCAATGTTGCTGAGTATCATGCAGATGAGCGTTTGATGGAAATTACTATAGGTGTTGGTGAAGTTTGTGATGCAAATATTGTCAGTGTCATCACTCCATAACAAGCCTATACTATTTACATGTAGTTGTTTCTGTTTTTGCTGTGTTAGGTTCATCAGGGATGTTATGTGCATGCTAGGATGTGAATGCTTTGTCAGAGCTTTGTTTATGGCTGTTGGTGTCAAGTGAACAGTGTAGTGGAAAGTGACAGGACATATCGAGTGTACCTACTCCCAAATCTGTGATGTGAGGAAAAAGAGTAGACGAGGCAATCAGATAGTCAACAACACTACACCCGTTATGAGTAACACGTGTTAATTCGCCATTTTTATCCTTAAACATCCTGCCATAAATGTGTGAACACCATATGTGCGGCACATGTCCACCAATGTTTTACATCGTAGACGGATCCTGCAGATACTTCCGTCATATGAAACCGACACGAAACTAGGTCATCTTCAATATCAGCAAATAGCAATTAAATGCGTTTATACATGACCTGACATACAGTAGCCTACAACATCGTAGACTAACGCTTAGTCTCTAAATATATATAATTTTGATAGTAACAAATACTCCCGTTTAAATTGAAAAGGAGCCACAGTCTGATGGGAGAACCTGGGAAATCTAGACTTGCTTCATTTAGGGCTTTAGCATTGCAGGAGGGCTAGGCATTGGGAAAATAATGTGGTTCGGGGACTGTGAGATAGACTATACATGATCGGTATATGCGTTTGTATATACCATGACCTGAAACACCTGTAACCTCCATGATCATTATACATGCTTGTAACGAAGCACATGTGATACATGTGGTCTCACTTTAGGCAAGTAAGTTTGTTCAAAATTGCCTCTGCTCACGAAGCAGAAAATGGGTACCCGGGGGAATAGGTCATGTGACTATAAACCTTCTAGCGCCTCTAGCAGCTTGGGTTATCTGGCGTAATAATAATAGTGCTTTGAGCAAGATATTCATCCTGGAATGGCGCTATAAAAGGGGACTGTTATTATTATACTTGGGCATGACATTATGTAACCAACATTATAGGCATGCCTGCTTATTGTGTGACATGACATTACACACCTATAAACGTTATGATCGGTATACGAGCTGGGTGTATGATGACCTGAAACACCGTGACCTCATACATGTTAGTCGCTGGAATGTGCACGACGGTCGCTTGATTATCGGAACTATATACAATAAATGTGACAACATGTGCGACAGCATGTGCGACTATAGCAGTAGGGGCGCTAAGTAACACTAGCATCAGAAATCAATGACTGTCAATATATTACCTTGGCGTATCGGGCCTTATCTCACTATGTCAGCACAGACAGGTCACACACAATACATGTATACATGTGTACAGTTATGCAACGTAAGTGGCGGAAACATTTAGAAACCTTAACATGCCTTCTTGTACATGATTTGAAGTCAATCATATTGCAGTGTATCACACTGAAAGTACTATATTCCTCCCAATGAAAATAAAGAAAATAAAAACAAATAAAAACGAGAAAAGAGCATAATAAGTCCAAAAAAACAAAGGTCATGTAGAATGTTACTTTGGGGATACTAGTACTGACTTGCCGAAAGAAGGAAAGTCATAATATTCAAGTCCAAAACAAAGTACGCACAGATTTCCTGTCACGTGTTTCCTTGAGGGGCTTATCTATGGGTGTGACTATGCCGATATCTCTGTGCCTGGCAAGTCTGTTGCGTGCTGCAGGTTAAGTAAACACATGCACAAAACACACCCTGTATTGTAAACAACTACTGCCATGTATCGACATACTCCTCTGATATGGCAAATGTCCTTCATATTTTATTTACGTATTCAAATTTAAAATTTAAAAACATATTTTTCAGGAAAAAGGCGATTCTGTTTCCAAATTATATTGTTCCCACTGTGCGGAGTTGCGACTCTTCTGCTTAAATTCTATGAGACGAATCTCTTCTTATAGTGGACGAACATCTCGTAAGAATTCTGAGATTTGGATGAATGTAAAGTAAAGATAAATTACTTTTAACCTATATATAGCAAAGATTAGTTTTATCTCAACTTACAAAATAATTATGCCAACACACTGAAGCAAGCAAATGCAATTATATGTTTATAAAAAGAAAAAGGTCCGTGGAAAATCATAGAAAAACCGTACATTAACAAAATCAATTACCCATTGTTATTCTAAATGCTTAGTAATCTCTTTTCAGCAATACATTTGGTCCACTAGATTAAAGGTTAATCTCTGCAAATAAATCATTATGAAAGAATCAAAAAATAACCCGAGGAAAACCTGGACTTGAAGCTCTGGCATTTGCATTAAGGGAAAACAATGTGGTCCAGGACTGTGTCACAGACCACGAGAGGCACCAGTGTTGTTACCCTGCTCTATAGTATAGTCCCCATGTATTGCGACAATCAGTCCTAGTTACTCACGCTTTGGGTAAGAGATATACTTAAAGGACGCTAGGTCATGAGAGTAGGGGTGGTGAAAGTAACCTGAACCACTTTCTGCAGCTGCAGGATCTACACATGACAGATCAGAGGGTTACTGGATAGGTTCATCTGTTGTCCGGGTCCTGGGTACAAATCGAGATATGCAGTGTTGTAACTCGTCCGTCGGCAATAACCATACTCAGACAGATTCAACCTGAGTTTCAGACATGTTTGGGACGACCACACCTTGAGTCCTCTTCTGCGCTACCTCTGCCTCGCTTATATGTAACAGACCGTTGAATACGAAGGAAGGTTGGCACCGTTTTTTCCTTTAGCACAAAAGGGCATCAGTTTATATTGTTATTCGTGACTCATTGTCCTTCTGTGATGACGTTCCATAATTTATTTATTCTAAATGCACACTTCGTAATACATTATCCTAGACTCGATATTCTCTGCGTTTAGGAACCTCACATTCAGTTCCTGCTCTCAAGTTCACAGACCAACAATTCATATTTTATTATTATATTTTTTTATTATAGGATATTTATATAGCGGACATAACCACGCACTAGTTAGTACATGCTCAAGGCACTGGGCTTTTTCTCTCGTTCATTGGATGTCAATCTCAACTGCACATCGTATTATCAATCTCAACTCTCTGGGGATAATACAACTCTTGCAGCCACTAGACGCACCGAGTTATTGTGTCTTTTCCATCCTTACGAAGTATGCATTCACAGCTAGGGGGACTGGGACATATATAGTCACAGTACTTTGTCCACGTTTACTGCACGTTGCTGTACCCGCAACTATGTGTTTGCACGTATTTATGTGACCACCATCTGGTCTTTTACCAACGGATTCGTGGGTTCTTTTAAGTGCACAGGCTTGCGTAATGTACACTAGGGGTTGTGACAACACTGAAATAGTTCGCACATAATGTTGACTCCAAGGTTACACCCGGTCACAGGTGGGCTCGACCCCGCTGGATCACTAGCCTGGGGCCTTAGACAGCTCGCCCACGATGCACCATTTTAGTCTTGAAGAACATAAAGAATGGTTCCCTAAACGTCAAGATAAATAGCTTTGTAGCATTATAAACAGTCAACTGTTGCAAAGTCAATTCAAACTGCCAGATTCATATTGTGTATAAATACACTGGGATGGAAAACACGTCCATCCAGGGAGTCATATTGTGGTGCATACATATTTCCTAATGATGCACATGCTGGCCACAGAAGAAAAAGGCGATGTGCATCCAGGCCTGTATTTATGATTCTAACAATTGACAATTCCGCTCATCCCTCTGAATGAAACGTGTGTGTGAAGAACACTAACATCTAGATTCAACTAAATAGTTTTTACATATATATAAGAGATGGAAAATGTTCAGTGTGTGTATGTGTTCCGATAAGCTATAATAACAAATGCATTTGTTTAGTATCGTTAAAGCCACTTCTGCAAACTTTCCTCTTCTTCAGTACTTGTGGTAGTCCAGTGCTCGAGTGGGATGCAATATACTGATAATTGTAAACATATTCATGTGTAAAACATGTGTTAACCTATGTTATTCAATATCACAGCACGCCCATGCTACGGTGTTCTCCAAGCGGGGAAGGCGAGGGTTTGATCCCAGTCGCTTTTAAAGATGGCCACCGTTGTCACCCCCTTAGTTCCCGAAGATATATCTAGCAACATCTACCAACACATAAGATTTGTTAGTTAAGGTTATGTATATCTGGGGAATTCGCCTGACATCCCGATATCACACGTATTATTTTCTTAACTGAGAAAGATAGAGTCCACACACCTCAGAACATCTCAGGGCAGCATATAGTATAGTTCATGATATGTATGAATTTGTTCTAACTAATAGTGCTCATGGCGAGTGTGTGAAGAGAACAAATAAAAACTTTTGGGGAGAGTTTTCAAACTTGGGGCTATTGAGACATACATTAGATTTAACAATACAATGTGATTTCAAAACTGTACATCAACTGAAATTAAGAGAACAAATAGCTCAAACGTTTTCAAATAGGTCATGTACTAACACAAGGTACGTTTACCCGGAAATATATATTTTAGTATTTTCAGTTGTTGTTGTTTTCATGCAGTCTGTGATGTTCAACACATGTTCGCTTCCAGAGAGAACTTTGACAGTTTATTTTTACACCTATCTGTCACGGATATGTATGTCATACAGATAAAACGGTTGTTTTGAGGTCGGTCCCTCTATTGTCTCAGTCGTTCAGATGCAAGGCAACCCGTTTACGTGTCATATAACTGTAGATGCAGATGTAAATCAAACCTCAACGCCCGGCGATAATCCTTCTCGATTACATCGGACGTTCTTTAAAAGACAAAATAGTGGTGAAAATTAAATAAATGGATCAATGAAAATCTGTCACGACCCAAAGTGTACGCGAAAGGTCAGCATGTCATGATCTACTGGACGCACAAACACAATTTCAATAAAATTACATGTTCGTCCGTTCGTTCGTTTATCCATTCGTTCTTTCATCCGTTCGTTCGTTCGTTTGTGTGTTGCCTAACGCTGCACATAGCAATACCGTGTCATTAGAGGAGAGCTCGGACACAACTATGATCCCCGGTGTTCATTACCTAGACCAATGAGGACGTCGTGGAGCTATTGCGCCACTCAGGCAACATAATACGAAGAACTGTATCATCGTGATTTTGTTTTATTATTGCTGAAGGGGTGCAAGATTCCACCCAACAAGACATAGGTTCCGAGCTGGGAATGCAGATCACCAGGACCGATCAAAGGGAAACATTAAGATCACCACGAGTCTGTAGAATGAGTCAGTATCAGCACCGCTTTCGGTAAAATTTCAGTCAGGAGGTGTCAGTTTGTGTTGGTAGAAAAGTCTACCACTTTAGAGAAGACCTTGGGTTGGTTCTGGTACACCAACTCATGGTACATTTCGGCACCAAGGACCAGCTAAAATTCATTTAGTTCTCCTTGTCGATGTCACTTGTCAGTGTTATGTTATATTATCTAAATCACGGCTGTAAATGCCAGTTTATTTTATCTGGAACTACTCTGACCGAAACAAGAGTCCGAAAATAGAACTGCCAATTTCTCCATTACGTATATGTTAATTGAGGCCGCTATCTCACCTATTTCCGCTGTATATTTCCGCAGTATAAGGAGGCTTTAGCTCAAAGTGAGAGGAAAGTTCACAACGAAGCAGCTTAAAGACACTGACCACTCACATGAAGTACGTGGACATAGTGCTTGGACTATAATTACGGCCAATTCCCCCGTACGTGCTGGTTATGATTAATTAGGTGAGTGACCGTTATGATCAAAATGCTATACCAACAGTATGGAGATACTCGATCACTCGTTATATAATCTGATAGAATGTGTACGTTTAATTTGCGTATGCAATGTCTGTGTTATGGAAATATAAATCAACTTTTAGATCATAGGAACAATTACCGAGTACATCAATGTTCCGAAAGGTAATTAAAAATAGTTTCTCGTCTAATTTTTCTCAGTTAATCATTTCTTGAGTAAGAGTTATATCGCTGACAGACGAGTACTGAATGTTGCTGAATGTTGAATTTTGGATTTAATTTATAAAAGTTTAATAAGAAGTAAATCAGGCTGTTTTTCCTCAGTTCATCTCCTAAATGGATCATCCATTTCGAAATACTATATTACTCTTCAAAATATTAATCATTACAAATACCGATACTTTCACATATGATATGTCTATTCGTAATCTTTACATACAATTATCAAACAATATATTGCAGGAAATTAGCATATGAAATATTTATAACAGTTATTGCACGGCACGGTGTGACTTAGGACTTATTAACATGTAGTTTATTTATGTGTATTCCATAATTACAATCACACACAATTATCAAAAATAACGAACAGGTATAATCACACTGTCTTAATGAAGGGCTTCATATACATTGGTGATATAGTCAAGTATAGTAAACTGACGTACAAAAAAGAAAGTACACACCTGGTGTTTTGGGATTATTTGAAAAGTGTTGTGATTTTGACTGGCAACGTCGCAATTGGGCACGATATCTCTGGTGTTTTGGCAACATATTAGGAAAGTCTGTGATTTATCTATCACTGCAAAAACTCTTTTCAAAATATTTACATTGATTTTTGGAAAGTAATCCAAAAGCACAAGGTGAGTACTTTCTTTTTGCACGTCAGTGTATATATCGAGTTATACATAAAATTTAATGTATAGTCACAATATAAGCCATATTTGTAATTATCCCGAACTCATGTGATGTATATATTCCATTGTGTGCTTAAGTCTTGACTTCCTCAAACGCTGGCATAACCACTATTTCATAAATACTTGCTGTTGATGACGTCGAAATCGAATCATCCATCTGTTTGATCGGCATTTAGAAGTTGGTGACTAATAAGAAAGTAAGATTGTTTATGGATAACAACTTCTTTATTATATATGATGCGACGTTTCGGTATGGATTCCTATACCGTTGTCAAGCAAGAGTGACAACGGTATAAGAATCCATACCGAAACGTCGCATCATATATAATAAAGAAGTTGTTATCCATAAACAATCTTACTTTCGAATAATCCACTCTGCGGTTAGAAAAGATGTCGTAATATGGAAAGAGTGTTTCTGTTTAAATTGTGAAACGCCAAAAGAAACGTTACCCACCTTCTTTAATGATGGCGGTACCTATCTTCAGCTGGCGTTGTGATGCGTGGACGTCCACTTCTTGGACACTTTACGGTGACCCCAGTCAGTCTGAAGCCCTGAATAAATCTTATAACCGTGATACGGTGGCATCCAAGGGCGTTGGCAATAGCATTGTATGTCGACCCCATCTGCACCATCCCAATGGCTCTTTCTCTCTCTTCAGCTGTTAATCGTGGCATATTTCTCGTACTTGTGTATCATATCATGTATTCTAGGCTCTCTTCATACCCTATACAGGTAGGAGGGTAACGTTTCTTTTGGCGTTTAGTGTATATATATATATATATATATAGAGAGAGAGAGAGAGAGAGAGAGAGAGAGAGGAGAGAGAAAGAGATGGGGGGGGAGAAAGAGAGAGAAATTGTATAATCATATATTATAAATAATTGTAAAAACTAATCTATGACTCCAGTTCAGTACAGTCCACTTAAAATATGACATAAATATTCAGATAATATAGGGTATTTCTGTCCGTCATGATCTAGAAAAAACACACGATCTGTTTCCGTCAGCCTGAGTAGACGGTGTCGGTTTTCTGATATAGATATCCAAGTTCTGCTGATATGATGTCACAGCGTGTACTTGTATTGAAACTGCAGCTTCAGTTGTAAATAATATTTCTGAAGTGTGTGGTAATGCGGGGTCAGCTTTCACTGTACGTGGCATGGCCTACTTCCTGGTGTCAGGTCACAACAAAGTTTTACATCCTGCACACATGCTGGCCCAGTTCTGTTGTACAAAGCATCATAACCTTCATGTCTTAAAGGGAACGTGCATCTACATGCATCTGTCATGTTGAGAGAGGGGGATGTGAAGGGGAGAGATGGCGTCATGAGGTGAGGGGGGTCGAAGGGTGGAGAAAGAGGGGGTGGAGAGAGAGAGGGGGGGAGAGTGTGTGTGTATGGCAAAGAGAAAGAGAGGAGTGATAGGTAGAGAAAGAAAGAGTGTGTGTGTGTAATGAAGGAAAGAAAAGGAGAGCCAGAGGAGGGAGCGATGGAGAGAGGGAGAGAGAGAGACAGAGAGAGAGATAGTCTGAGCTGGAGAGAAAGAGAGGCACTGAGCAATATTCCACCTATACAAGGGCGGCCCACATGTAAACAGCTCAGAGCCCGATAGCCTAGTGATAAACCACATAAATGCAATAACGACTCAGAGATCCTTACTACCCGATCGATGTAGTCGCCTCTTACGACATGCATGTGATGCTGAGAACCTATGTTCTTCTAAATAATGATTCCAATGGTTTGTTAACACATCTCATGTACACCGGAAGTGCCAACTACAGAGGGCTGGATGATCAGTCGCGGTGAACTGGCTAATCGCATGTCAGCGTTCCTGGATGATGATGATTGGTGCTCATGATTTCAGTCACTGGTTTGTGTGGTCGTGGCATGCACGGATGGCTCAGCATACGCTGTACAGAGTTCCGTTCCTGGTTCACGCTAGAAACTATTATCATAGGTTCGAGTCCCGGTTCACCCCTTGGTTTATTATTACCAGGACCGTGTTCGTGGGGTTCAACAAACTAGTCACATGCATCACTTCGGGGTTCTTCCTGCCAGAGCTCAAACCCCGCGGTATAAGAAGAAGAAAACTGTTCAAAGCAGCATTAAATTCAATTTAATAATAATGATAATAATAATGAGAATATGTATAACGCGCCTTTTCCAGGCTAGATATCCTGGTCAAAGCGTACAATCTGATGATTATTACCCCAGATAACCCAAGCTGCCTGTTAGGCGCTAGAAGGTTAATAGTCACATGATTTTATCCAACCGGGTACCCATTTTCTGCTCGGTGAACAGAGGCAATTTTGAACAAATTCCCTTGCCTAAGGTGAGACCACATGTATCACATGTGCCTGATTTAATTTAACTTTCATGAATATGTTTCAGGTTGAATATTTCTACAGCAATGTAAGCGTCTTCTTTTAACCGTTGTCACCTTCGGGATGTTTGACGAGGATACATTTGAGAGAGAGCTGTCATGTGGGGTTTGTCTGGAGCTGTACACGGATCCCCTACAGCTCTCATGCATGCACACCTTCTGCAAGAGCTGCCTCAAGGCTTTACTTCAGAGCGAGGGGAACAAGCGTCTCAAATGTCCGGATTGTCGCAAGAACAGTGATCTCGGACGAGGTGGCATTGAGTCGCTCAAGCGCAATTTTAAACTGGCTAGCATTGTTGATATCTACAGACAGGCTGTTGCAAAACTTGTTGCAGAGGTGAGTGATTTTTGTCAAATGTTCACAGCTTGTGATGATTATACTCGTGGGTTCGAATCCCGATCGTCTCGGTTATATTTCTAAGTTTGACAGCACCATACGTTTACTGATGAACGTCTAAGACCTGCCGTACTTCGGGATTTCCTCCCACATTAAGCGTACACGTCATGATGGAACTGAAACAATGTCCAAGGCAGCATTAAACCCAATTCACTTCACTCATTCGTAATAAATGATAAGTAACTATAAGATCTGAAATGCACACCTAATCTAAAACAGGTGATTGGGCATGTACATTTAGAATATAGTGACAAAATCATTTCTATAGTGAAGGCCTTCAAACAGAAGTCGATAATATGTCATAACCATGACAGTGTTTACGAATCACTATCAAATAGGGATGATGCCAGGTATTCTTTTCCGGTCAGTGGCACCCGTCACAAACATATGTGCAGGAGTTCACCTGAGTAAACAAGGGTACGAGTTACAATAGGGAAATATAATGGACAAACACTGATGTTTCCAACATCCCCCACACTTCTGTCGTACAGCGTTTTGTATACTTTAATAAGGTCGTGGGTGGTGACAGCCTGATCAAACAGGTTTGGAGCAAGATGTGTAGGAGGCTCTTTGAAATCTCCACAGAAGGATTACCCCAGGCGAGAACTGATTAAGTAATGCTCCACATTAAAATACAGTTAAATAAACTGGGACCTGAGCATGTCTACAGATATGGCTTCCTTATCATGCTTCGAGTCGGCAAACGGCGAGAACAGGTCGTTGTTGTATTAAACAAAACTCATTTGCTCACTTATGTATGTATACTACTCAAGACAATTTAAAGAACACCCACACTGAGATGTTTCCGTGTTGCTATGCCCACCAGCCACGGGAGATTAACTGAACTAAACTTTACAACACATGAACAGCAATACACAGGTTTTACATTCTCTATACAAATAGGAAGGTTTTGTGGTAAAAATGGTAGGATGTTTGGAGCCTGCATCATCACACTTCCCATATTGTCAGTTAATCCTTATATCGACAATCTAATATCACTAAAAGCACGACAACGATTTTGACATTTTAAATCCATTTGTCTACAGAAGGAAGCAAACAGACAAGAAGAACAGACAAGGAAGTCCAGGATTGATGACCACAAGAAGGATTATGCATTCGTCAGTTCGTTGATTCAGAAATCTCATGATGAATCGGACGGCCCGTTTGAGCCACACATCATTGACGACCTGTGGGGAACGTTTAAAAGAACTGCGAGGAGAGACAGTCATTTGAGCAACAGGCCACCAGCACCCTTACCCCCACGTTCTGAAACCAGTTCAAGGTCCCCTCCCCAGTTACCTCGTGCTCCTCGGCCTCTTCCCACCATTCCACATCGTTCTTCCAGCACAGATGACACGACATCAATGTCTGATCAAACGGGCACAAGGCTACCCCCTGCCCCATCCCCCGAGTCAACTAACCCTGCACGAATGTGGTCACGTTCTCCGCTGCCACCCCCTCCTCCGCAACGTCTCAGCGACGACTCTCGAGCAATACCTAGTGCCCCTCCATACCTTCGTCTCTCCGACAACCAGAGTAATATTCCAGACGAGATCGGCGACCTGGACTTCATGGATGGATCCTTTGACATTGCTGCGTCTTTCAGACCATCACTGCCTCCAGTGCCACCAAGGAGGTCTTTCCCTTCGCAACCATCTGCATTCATCCCAGACAAGAACCTTGAAAACCGCCCTCCAATTCCAGCACCAAGAGGCAATGTTAAAGCTCCCGCTCTTCCTCCAAGGGAAAATATGCCTGCTCTGAAAACAAAACCTGGTATGTATATATAGAAGGCTTGTAGAATTCTTCTTACTGATACATCATCACAGCTGGGACCTTTCTTACTAATTCCAACTGTTACTTCTTTTGGGCGGGGTTAAATTGGATCCTTAATGAAATGCTTGTGCATTGCCTTACCAGCCCGACACGAGAACATGAAGACATAAGCACAGCTTTCAGAGGTGAGGTGAGGTGAAATTGGGTTAACGTCGTGCTTGAGAATATTTCGCTCATATGACGACGTGCATGCGTGTGTATGTGTATGTGAGGCTGCTTGTACTAGCCCAGACTTAAGCTGGTTTTATAGTGCTAGCCCACTGAGATAATTTGCCGCAGTGAAGCATGAATACCCCACTCATTATACTGACTCCGAGCCGACCAGTCCTTGTTGTACCCATTAATGCCGAGCGCCAGGCAGAGACCAACAAGTACCATATTTTAACGTCTTTGGGTATGACCCGGTCGGGGATCGAACCCGCGACCTTCCGCTCTCCGGGCGGACGCTCTAACCACTACACCACGGAGGCGGTCACAGCTTTCAGAACTTGCCACGAAAAGAATCAGATGCGTTCATATGAAGGAGAATGTAACTAACGATGACCTTAGAGGTTGTCTGTATCATTCACTGGTCAACACATCCGGCATGCCCAGTGAACAGCTTGGGGTCTTTATAAAGCTTGTGGCTATGGTTTAACAGCATCTGTAGGAGCAACTTTATAGATTTTTTAAATCTCAACCCTTGATGAAATATATTTATGCTATTATTAATATCGTAAGTGTGTCAAGTATATGTGTATGCATTACAGGCAGCGTACAGAACGGTCGGAAGCCGCTTCCAAAGCCAAAAGGACGGCAGTCATGACAGTTTAACAGCTAAACCCCTTTTGTAACAGCCAGGAAGCGCGAATGTTGCAGTGAATTCAGTTGTTGTTATGCACGGTGGCATTTCCGTTGACCGCAGCCGGCTACACGGATATTGATTCACATACCCTTCACATGACAAGGGGTACGACCACGTGTTCCAGGATGTGTCAGGATCGTTATACTGAAGAGCTGTAGGTAGCAACTGTTGGTGTTCTTGGTATTGCTTTATGTTTTGTGTCTCCTGGATGGTACATATTCCCTATGCTACGTCGACGTACTGATACGCTGTTTATAGTTTACCGTACCATGGCTGTATCATATTCATGTGTGACCGGAGGGAAACTGAGTCCCTTCATCATTCAGGGCAAGATGGAGAATCTAATGAGACGATGGTTTTACGAAACAAAATCTGTTTGTGATTTGGGGAGCACTATATCTGCACAGCGGTTAATCTCAAAGCTTCATCGTACTGTTCCATGACATGTCAAACGTGCCAACAGGTTATGTCCTTACGACCAGAGGACACGATGTGTAGGCCATGTCCTCGGTCTGTTTATCTAGAAGCCTGTGACATCTAGCATCCCTAGCACACCATGTTTCCAGAGTCTGGACGACTCGTTGTGAGAACATCTATGCATACACAAATTGATCGTGTTCATACCCAGGATCTTTGAATCATCTTACACATAATCTGGCATCCTTGTTTCTGCTGTCGAACAGATTCTGGCAGCATTGTTCCAAACATCATAAACCATACACCCAGTCGGCGTAAAACGCCATCTTGAGCACATTTCAGGTATTTCCTGTTTACACAGCGTCCATGTCGGCTTTTCATGTTTTAAGCTCCATCAACACAAAAATAATTGTGAAATATATCATTGAATTTCTTATAAATACACCAAAAGTAATCAAAGGATATTTATTTTATTGTTTGCACACAAAACTCAGCGAAATCGTTTTGCGCACTGTTAATTGTGACAGAGTTTAACTGCCTGACTGAGTTTGGCTTTACGCCGCTTTTAGCAATATTCCGGCAACATCACGGCGGGGGACACCATAAATGGGCTTCACACGTTGTACCCATGTGGGGATTCGAACCCGGGTCTTCAGCGTGACGAGCCAACGCTTTAACCACTAGACTACCCCACCGCCCCGACAGAGTTTAACACTTATAGATATATATACGAAAGACATGCATGATAAGCACCCTATACAAGTTAGCCGAAATGTGTTTTGAACTGAATAATGAAGCGACAAAACGTATCATAATTCGTAGTCGTAAGAAATATGAGGATGTGTTTATGAATTCCTAGCAAATGGTGCTGATAACAACCTACATCGGACATTGGACATAACAAAGCTAGCTTTGGTGGACAGTGGACATAGGAAGCAATCGACATCGGACAGCTAGTCTCACCGAAGTGTGTGCTTATGCAGCCATAACGACCCTGCTTGTTAACTTGTATATAAAACGTCGACGAAGTTTATATGATCAGCTGTCATTGTCGTATCATAAGTGGATTAAGAGGATACGTCCGGAAGCGTAAGGTCCAGGCTAGCTATTCTCGAAACGTTCGTAGCCCTACGAACTTCTTAAGCCCATACTTAACACATTGGCTACGATCAAAGTTAAGAATTCGTAGGGTTACGAACGTTCCGAGAATAAGGGCTCAGTGCTTAGAAGTTGTACGTCACCGTTGCGGTGTATTTATAGCTCGTAATACAAGTAATCACAAATTATAGCACGAAATACGTTGTACTCAGATGTGATTAGTTATATGTGTTGCCTCTCAATCATAGTTATGCTTAGCTTGTCATCGCAGAAGAAGCTGAATAACATAATGACGAATGATTGACAACTAGTCACGCTGGGTTCTTCAGGCACCATTTGAAACTATGGCGATTTCTGGAAAATTCGGTTATTTTGTTAAAAGCAATGTTTTTTGCATATTTCTATATTGCACGCTATCCATATTCTTTATAACTTGATTGTTGAGAAATGTGTTTCCGGCAAGATAACGCTATCAGTTAACACGACAAAAAGGCTCGTATTTAATTCCTCATCAAATGCTTATTTTCAAATTGACTAAGTCACCAAAACTCCTGGGCTTTTTTGGCATCAAAGGTCGACAGCAGCAATAGCATGGTATCCATACTATTATTGGATTACTAAAATCGTCACAGAATTCACTACTTTTTCACAAGTACGCTTGCCACGTGTGATCATCACTAATGTCCTTTTAATGTACATAGGCTTCAGTACAGGAAGAAAGATAATCAGCAACCACAGTGGCTTAGCCCATGCTATATGAACCGAAGAACATGAAACCAACATTCGAGTGAGTGAGTTTAGTTTTACGCCGCACTCAGCAATATTCCAGTTATATGGCGGCGGTCTGTAAATAATCGAGTCCGGACCAGACAATCCAATGATCAACAGCATGAGCATCGATCTGCGCAATTGGGAACCGATGACATGTGTCAACCAAGTCAGCGAGCCTAACCACCCGATCCCGTTAGTCGCCTCTTACGACAAGCATGGGTTACTGAAGGTTCATTCTAACCCGGACCTTCACGGTTAAACCAACAATGGAAAGAAGGACCAACAATTGAAAGAACCTAGACCATTTGTTGATATGACATGTTTTTAATGAACTGCATTTGTATTAGAAGCGCTTGTTCAAGTTTAATGGCCTTTACAATGTAAACCCATGTTTTTCCGGTATGTGCAGGCGGAAGAATGTTTTCTGTGACGGAAACGCGTGTATAAAGAAAACAAAAACAAAAAAAAGGCTATTGATTGTTTTGGACACAATAATGGGTCACCGACGGAATAACCACAATTACAACCGACACACAGACGTTCGCTATTTTGTGTTTTTCTTTTTAAAAGCACCATGCATTTTCACCTCACGAGAGGATTTACCTACTCCAGCACCAAACAAAACGTTCATGTGAAAATAATTATTTTCGTAAATCAGCACTGTATAACTTTAGAAAGAGGCTTTTCCTGTTTAGTTACATCCAGAGATGAAGTTCTTTTCATTTTTGTAATCATTGAGTTTCTTATTTTTATTAAAGTTCCTTGCTCCAGCTTCAGGGTGAGTGAGGTATGAGTTTAGCCGTGGAAATATCCACGGGGGCACTCATAAGTCTATATATGTTGTTTCGTGATGTCAACGACTGTTAAGTTTGATGCCACGTTGTTTACAAATAAAATAAATCATGTTTAATTGTTTTGCAAAATTTGTTATTCATGTTCTTGTTTATCGCAGGGAACAGATTCAGTTTTTCAAAAATGAGTTAGTGATTCAAGGGAGGCAACTCTGTGTCACCATTGTAGGAGTCATTTCCCCATTTACAGATGTGCGTTATTTTCCCGAACACTTTTTCTGTTTAACAAGGAAACAGTGACTATATAACGATTAATATTACTAGGTCGTAAAGTAAATTAAAAAGCAACATGGGCAATCTCAATAAGGACTTGGTGTATGACCAGGCTTGCCCATTGTGTTGTTCTCTACGGGTGTCCTGTCTTGGCTGGTTTGTCCGACCTTTTAGGTATGATCTGTAGGGAGTGGTCTGACGTCGTCATATTATACAAGTGACATGTGCAAGATATGTACTGTGCAGAGAGTGACTTGATCTTTAACGTTTTAAGAGGATTTCTGGGGGCATATTCAGATAGAATGTGCTGAGTGATAATGGAATGCAAGGATCAGGCAAGGTTGATGGCATTGCAACATTAATAATAATAATAAGGGCCTGATGATATACGCCTCTTCGTGGTGGGCCTAGATAGGGGAATTATATTCCCTGAAATGAAGGTACATCACCCAGTTAGGGCTGACCCCCCGAAACTGGTTTTCTTACTGGGTTACAAATAGACAAGAATAAATCAATCTTTCACTTCCGTAGCCCAGTCAGCCTTCCTCCGGTAGTCAAACCAACCACACTGGAGATGGGACTTGCCCCAGGGGAAGGCACAGCACCCTACTAAGAATATCTTGGTCAAACCATCTGAAAACCACACTACTAGAGTGTGCAAGAGCGACAGGATGGCCTGCAAATCCGCCAATAAACGGCAAGTTGGATCGCTTAAGCTGCATTGGGACAATGCCATGCCCATGTATGCTTTCCTGACGGAGCAAAATCTGCGAGATAAATTCCGGCGGCTTAAAAATTTCTTGCCCCGTGAGCCAGTTCAACCCATAACTGGAGCCCGTCAGGAACCTTTGCATGAGCAGAGTGCTCAAGTGGCAGCAGACCCAAAACTTCTGATGGACGTCCGCGTTAACCTTTCTCCTCTTCCTGATTCTTCCGGCATAGAGCCAGTTGGCCCCGAAATTTCGGACCCTCACTCTTCTTCTTCCTCTACTGCAGATCTTTCTGAGAACCCTGTTAACAGTTTGTTTGATTCTATTTATCAGGAAATTTGTGATTTACAGGGGGTGCAAGGATCAACTTCTTGTACAGAAAATGATTTTGGAAGAGGCTAAAACATATCACCGCAGCCTCTCCATGTGCTGGATTGACTATAAGAAAGCATACGACTCTGTCCCTCATGAATGGATTCTGAAGTCTCTTCCGCCCAGAGTGACTACTTGATTTACTCAAGTCTTTAATGAGTTGCTGGTCGACTCAACTTGAGATGTACTCGCAAGTGCAGGTGCAGACTTCGGAATCTATTCCAATCAGAAGGGGAATTTTCCAGGGGGACTCCTTCAGTCCTTTGCTTTTTTGTTTGTCTCTAAATCCTTTGAGCTTTCTGCTCAATAGAGAGGAAGGTTACCACCACGGACCTCCTCAACACAGATCCCCAACAAAGCTTACTCATCTCCTTTACATGGATGACTTCGAGCTCCTTGCAAAAGGAGATACCAGTTTGAAAAAGCAGGTTCTCCTTGTCGAGTCCTTTTCTAATGATATTGGCATGGCATTTGGGCTCAACAAATGTAATACTCTTCACTTGAAACGTGGCAAGGTAACTAATGATGGATAGGTCAGGTTGCAAGGGGGACGTGTTATTGAGCATCTTGTGGAATATCAGGCCTACACCTATCTTGGAATGCAACTTCGAAACAAGCTCCAGAGTGCTCAAATTCAAGACAAACTTCGGGCCGAGTACAAATCTCGCTTAAAGAAAATCTGGAGCTAAATGCTCGAAACAAGGTCAAAGCCACCAAAACTTTTGCTGTGCCAGTCCTTTCCTATGACAAAACAAGACATCCAGAGTCTTGACCAGAAGGATCATGTCTGATAACAGAACCCACCACCCTCGTTCCTCTCTCAACCGTTTATATATGCCAATCAATTCGGGAGGTCGGGGTTTGATTAATGTGGAGGCTCTTCATCATAGAATTCTTTTGTGTACTTCTGCACATATTTATTTATCGGATGATCTTCTGGTGATGCATGTGGAGACTCATGATGAAAGCAAGGAATTCCACAGCTTTTTTAAGCGTGCCAAGGTTGTTGGACAGAATCTGAGATTTGAGGTTTATTTTGCTGATGGCGGTGTACTGCTGGACGGTACAGGTGAAGTCCAGGTGAAGTCCTTCACCAAATCTGCCCAGGGTCGGTCTTTTGTGGAGAAGCTTTCTGAGAAGCCATTGCATCGTGTGTACATGCAGTGTGTGGAAAAGAATAGCAATCCAACCGACTCCTTCGCCTGGATGAAGTCGGCTTGTCTCAAATGTGAAACTGAGGGCTTCCTTTTTGCTGCTCAGGACCAGTCACTTCCCACTCGTAATCGCCAAAATATCAATATGAAATGTCGACTGTGTAATGAATTAACAGAGACTGTCCAACACCTTGTTAGTGGATGCCCTTCCTTGGCACAAACAGCATATCTTAAGAGACATGATGGCATGGCTCGTTGCTTTTACTACCGTCTTCGCCATGCCTGTGGCTT